GCAAAACAAGTGACACGCCTTATATCCAAACTCACGTAGCTAAGGCTAGTGAAGAACTTTTGAGGAAACAATATCATTTTCAAACATAAAAAAGGGGTCAAGCTTTAGGACAAAAAGATTCCCCATTCTAGAAAGTATTCCCTGTTCTGTAGGGTAGGGATTCACACATTATAATCTTACCAACTACTAGTATTATGGTACGAGCAATAATAAAACCAAGCTGCATCTAAGTTCCGGATGTGGTCAAACGTCTTGGCATTTAAATCTTCTTGTGTTCGCATTTCAAACAAAACAAAAGACGTTGGCAACACCTATCATTCAACCTCCTTCAGTTTGGTCTCACAAGCTATTTCATTTTATTTTTGTCTTCTAGTAAAAAGACCTTAATTTTTTTTTGGACAAATTGTAATTATTTACATGTGTTAATTGAGAGATAGGGAAAGGGATTCTACGAGCTCGAACACGCAACCCATAGGAGGTAAATAACCCTAACCCGGGGTCCATGCCACTAGGTTGGAACGGGCTATTTAGTAAAAAGACCTTAATTATATTATCTTCTAATAAAAAAATATTGTTTTATAAAATAAGGTTTTTAGATCTTAGTCTAACAATTTTTGTTTGGTTTTTTTTTTTTTTTGTTTGAAAAGGGGAGTTGACTGTTATAGTTTTATTTAAATGGTTTTCTAAGTTCACTTCCATAACAAAACAAAACGAAGATAAGACCATTGCCTTAGCACACATTATACCAATCTAATGAAAAGAAATGCCATAATGATTGATATATAAGTGTAAAAATTAATTATTATTAATAATTAAAATTTTAATTTTAAAATATAAATGTTGATTTAAAAATTTATACCACAAGTGAACTTTATCCTAAATTGTTTTAGTTGACATAAGAATAGGATTTCTTCGTAAGTGTGAGGTAGGGATGGCAATTTCCTCCAAGACTCATGAAGCTCCATAGAGATCCCCATTATAGGGATGGAGATTCCAATAATATTCCTCCATGTGGGGTGGGGACAGAGGCATTTTTTCTTGCGAAATTTCATGGGGAATTTCTTTTGCTCCGTAGAAACTTATGTGGATTCATATATAATAAAAAATATATATATTTATTCTTACATATATTTTTGTAAATATATTACCAATTAATTTTACTCATCCAACCTAATTGGCTAACCCAACTTAACCAAAATTGCCCAACCTAATTCCTTTTCCAGTTTTAGTCTTTTGAAACCTAATTCAATAACCCAACCTAACCTGGACATATATGGCAATTCATGCATTTTTTTTTTATGAACTTGTTGGATGTGTATCATAATTAGGGGTGGCAATTTCCCTTGCCTCATGGGGATTCTCACCACGGGGATGGGGTGGGGAGGAATATTCTTCCTTGTGGGGCGAGGATGGGGCGCATTTTCCCCCTACGAGGATCCCTATCCCTACAAAAATTAAAAAATATGTATATTAATTTTATTTTAAATTTAATTTAACCTTCAAACCCAAACCAAAACTCAAACCCAATCCAATCAAAATTAAACTTAACTCAATTTTACCCAATCCAACCCAAGCCAACTCAACCCATAAAAATTAACCCAACCCATTATTAACCATTTAACCCCATTACCCTAACCCTTATTCATTTCATTTCTCATCACTATCACCTTCCTCCTTTCCCAGCTTCCCTTCTTTCCCCTTCTGTGGCTTTGCCATTTGCACTCTTCTAGTCTTCTTCAAGAATCTCATATCCCATTCTCTCCATTGTCGTCCTTCTGCCTTTCTCTCCCTTCTGCCCTCCTTAGTTCTCACCTTTTGTGATTCTGCCCTTACTTTCACCTTTGTACCTGATCCAAACTACATACTTCATTATTATTCTCTATTGTGCTGCTGGACTTAGAATGGACTATTGCGGTGCTACTAGGCCATAATACTACAGCCAAATCCATCTGGAGTTCTAGACTACTGCTATTCAAAGCCATCTGTCTCCAATCTATTGGATTGCTACTATTTGAAGCCATTTGGGTTCGGTATCTAGTCCATGATTTGGATATCAAAGAATGGAGGTTCTTGTTTCCTGGGTTTTTGCAAGAAAAATGTGTTTTTGGAATTGGAAGTTAAAGAAGACGAAGGTATTTAGGGCTTGGGCTTTTATCAAGTTTATATTTCTTTTATTTTTTGATGGTATATTTCTTTTGTTCTTTAATTTAGTTAATTTTTAATCTAAATTTGCTTGTTTGAAATAGGTTCTTTGGATGATGTGAGTTTCTTTACTCTTAATGAGAATATGGATTGTGATGAAGAAAATAATTTAGAAAATAAAATATATATGACCTTTTTTATACAAATAATATAAATAGTTTTTCTATAAATATGTTAACATAAAGTGTTTACTAATTGTATTGTAGACTTGTGTTTTGAGTTAGCTACCTCCCTTCATGCTGGAATCTGGATGTTGGTTTAATTATTTTATTTGTGTTGGATTAATTTTTGCTTATGTTTAGAACAAGTATGTTGGTTTAGCTTGGATTAATCTTTATTTATATTTGGAACAAGTTTGTTGGTTTAGTTATTTATGTTGAATTGATTTTTATTTATGTTTGGACAATTTAATTTGATTTTATATTTAAAGAATTTTAATTAATTGTATTTGAATTTTTAGAATTTTATTAATTGTAATTGAATATTATTAATTAATTATATGTAAAAGACTTAAAGATTTATAGTTTGATATTAATTAGCGAGGAATGGGGATAGGGGGCAAAATTTGCCCCCTGTCAAAAATCCCCCTGGGGATCCTCATCCCCGGGAAGGACGGGAGGGACACCCTTGCCCCATAGGGTGTCGTTGACATCCCTAATGGTAATGTGTATTTTCTGCAATTGGTTACTAGATATTGCTTTGCTGCACTATATGTTAAGTGTTCACTTGTTTGAGTTGTTTTAAAATTTTACTTTCTTTATTTATCAAGAAAAAAATAAGACTAAATTTTATATATTTAATATTTGGTGGAGATTTCAAATACTTACAAGGACCTATCATTCCCTACGGGTATGGGGATGGAGGCTATTTTTACTCCATACCAAAAATCCCCATGGGGATCCCTGTACCCATCATTGGTGGGGATGGGGAGGGGGAGGGGGTCCTCTCCCCCGTGGGAACCTGTTGCCATCTCTAGTGTGAGGTAATGTAGAAACCTTAATGTGAGCCAATGCATGATTGGGTTTCGATCATTCCCAGTTTTGGCTCAAATCTTTTTTTTTTTTCTTTTGAACAAATGCAATTTTGGGTAGGAAAAAGGAATTAAACCTAGCCCATGGAGCTGGGACACACACTGTTAACCAATTAACCTGTAAGGCCAGGTGTGTTGGCCCAAATCGTTTTAGTACAACAAGGCACCTAGATATGTAGGCTAGTGCCTGAGTAGATGCCCATTTGCGTTAGATTTGACTTTAATTAATATCTTAATTGAACATAGATAAATTCATGGGCAACAATTTTTTGACCTTCTGGGTCAATGAGCTTGTCCAGTTATAGAGATTAAGCAATTGTGTTAGAAGAGAATGTATTATACGCACAATTAAGTTTTACAGTTCGGCTACAAAATCAAAGTTCCATGGCAATTAGACCGGGTAATATTGTACCTGCTTGTGAACTTGTTATATAAACAGATATGGATAAGGAGATTTTGATCCACAACTCATTTACAAACCTTTTTTAACCCACTTGGTCGATCCCCTTGATTATTTTTTTATTTTAACAATATATTTTTTAAACTTTTAGATTCATTCGTGAATTAAATAAAAAAAAATCCATAGTAACTCTCTGAATCCAAATTTTGGTAATATGTCTAAAATTCTACTGCTTTATTTGAGATTGGTTGTTAATTTTGTAGTCCCATTTTTTATCCTTGAGTCTTGTTGGGTTGATTTTTGCCTATATTTAGAACATGTTGCTTTATGTTGGATTAATCTCTATTTGAAACAATTTTATTGATTTAATTATTTGTGTTAAATTAATTTTTATTTATGTTTAATGCAAAAAATATATACTTTATTATTAATTGGTGGGGAATGGGGATCCCCATTCCCCGCGGGTAACGGGGACGGGTGGCAAAATCTGCCCCCCGTCAAAAATCCCCGCGGGGATCCCCGTCCCCGCCATTCGCGGGGACGGGGACGGGGAGGCACTCCCCGGCCCCGCGGGCCCCGTTGACATCCCTAGTGAGGTTGAGCAAAGTTGCTTGGTTTACGACATCATTTTAGCTAAACAATTTGACCAGCCTGACATGCACGTTAGCGCATGCTTGCCACTTCCTCATATAGTAGTTGGTTTTGTTGAGATGTTCTAAAAAAGGGTTAAAATCCATTGCTCCCTCACCTATTATGCAAAGTCCTTTTTGATCCCTCAACTTATAAAAACTCTTGTTTAGTCCTTTAAGTTTAATTTTCCTGACAGTCCCTCTGTTAAGTTTTTGCTTATGTGGCAAGTTAGTTAACCAAAAACAACACTTTTCTTTTTTTACAATATTAATGACATGGAAAATTCGTACCCTTAAATATGATGACATGGACAAAAATTGGTCCATGTTAGCATTTTATGCAAACATAAAAGTTCCAACCCTTATTATTACTTTATTAATTAATGGATTAAATGAATTAAGCCATGATTATTTTAAGTAGTTTTATATTATGATAAATTATCCATTTACTAATTTTTCATTAATTTTTTACTAATTTTTTTATTAACCTTTCGATATTAATTGAATAATAAAATAAAGAAAAAAGTTTTTATTTTTTGGGTTGTTCGATCCAATTCTTTGATCCATCTGGTTTCTCTGCAATGCATATTCAACCTTGATTCTACAACTCTAGATGTTGTCCGTAATTTCTCCTTGCTAGAGTCTTCTATAATGTATTTGTACCTAAATTGGGAGATAACTCTGCCGCTTCTAATCTCTTATAGTAAAGGAAATTGCTAGCATTAGCTACACCATCATCAAGTTCCTAGTCCCTTTATTATTACAATAGTTCTTTCACTAAATGAAACAAAAAATATTTCTTCATCCAAGTATCTTAGGCTTGGGATCGACCATTGGAAGAAGAAAACTCTTCTCCAACAGTGATAACACCATCACCAACCACCATGCCAACACCCATGTCCATCCCCCAAACAAACAAGTAACTCTATAAACAAAAAAAGAGGAATTACAACAATAGAAAAGAGACAAAGAAAGGTTCCACCTTGTCACGCCCCAAAACCCAAATCTGAGGCGTAACAAACGCCGTGCACTCGTGAGAGGATCCCACAAATGCACAAGACTCGGAACTTATCCAATTCACAATCTGATACCACAAAATTTGAATATAATATTTTAAAATTTGCTCTGATATCATAAAATCTCCAAATAAAGGCTAGCTTACAAGATCATGAACTGCATCTAAAATCTATGTTCAATTTACAAGATGGCCAGCCTTTTAACTTGTCACTCCCCTTGGTTTTTTTTCTCGTCCTTGACTTCGCTTCTTGAAATGGTGGACAAGGAAAAACTATGAGATAACTCAGTAAGTAAATATGAATAGCCCTTAATTAAACTTATAGCATGCCAACAAGTGTAATCACGAAAAACGGATATAGTACGGGAACGAAATAGACGTCTCCTCTATAGGTCATGGCCAGTGTTATAAACCTCCCACTGGCAGGCACATGATTTACTAGTGTATAATCCCACTAGTAGGATAACAGAAACGAACGAGTTCTATCAATAACATGTCGACATGTGCTAGCGTTTATAAACCTCCCACTAGCGGGCACATGAATAACATGACCATATCGGAGACAAAACCAAGCAAGATTTATAGAAAAATCCATGATTCTCACTCTCAATTTCAAGAATAAACCGGGAAAATTTCCATGTGGGCATGGATTTAGCAGAAAAATCAGAGTCTACAAAATTCTCAGTTCATCAGGGCAGTTAAGTAAATTCCAAGTAGACATGCTCAAATCAATAAAAAGAATAATAATCTTATTTCAAATCAATCATGCTCATTTTTGTAGAAAACAGATTTAGTCCCGCCACCACTTGAAAAACAAGTTAAAATACACTTTTAAAATCGAAGGGAATTACCATAATTTTACTTACCTCAAATCGCATAAAACCGAAGACTCAACCCACATACTAAAGTGCCCCAAGGATCAAGAACCTAACCAAAATATTCCAAAATTAATACCACACTATTACAAATTCAAAGTGAAATCATCATTAGGACTACCCCTAATCATGATGCTATTTCTATCAGTCTCCACATGACCGGACATCTCCAAATTTGTTCTTATATTACAAACTAAACATTTAATCCCCGTTAATTGTTGGCCATCAGTGCGTGAATAGTGCCCGTGAACAGTGATCACGCCGTGAACAGTAACTGCACTTCCATAAATTAGCAAAACAATGGCTAATTCACGGGATTTTTCTCCAAAATCTCACAGCAGCCAACTCAAGCAATTTACACATGAATTAAGCTTAATTATACTCTAATTACTACCGAAATTCATCCCCCTAATTCAACAAAATTCGGACAGCACATGGTCGCAAATAAATGGACAAAATTCAACAACTAATTGATGAAATTTCGGGCTTGGAGGAGCTGTCAACATACCAGAATTTTCCCAGCAAAACCAGAGCTACAAGCTAGGGGAAGGCCGGCGGCAATTTGGGGAGAAATTCGGAATCTACCCAAAATTGGAGAACCACAAGCACAAATTGGAGTAACCCAAGTTAATTTAAGGCTAAAAGGAGGAGAATCATGGCTGTTCTTACCAGAAATTTGAAGAATTTCGCACCCACAAACAAGAGCAGCCGACGGTGAGGAGCAGAATAGAGCAGAGCAGATCCGGGATTTCTGCAGAGGGGGGGGGGAGATTTCTGGGTTCTATATGTGTTCTAGAACAAGAAAAGAAAGAGAAATCCCCAA